TATATTTTATGACAACATGTAAACAAACAGTATAATAAAATTATAAAAACTATATATATATATATATGTGTGTGTGTGTGTATATAGTTTTCTTAATTCTACAACTATATGTATTGTTACGAAATGTACAGGTGAGGTAAGATGGCTTCCCCGCAAGCAGTTTTAGAGTTACCATAAAATGGCAAGGGAAGGCAGGGTTGCAACATTTGGCGAGAAATCGCCCATTTGGCGACAAAATCGGCGATATGTCATGGACGGATGGAGAACCTTCTGGAACGAATTCTTACCGGTTTAGCCCAGAATGTTCTCGAACACAAACCGAAAGCTATATAAACCCTGCTGGTCCGCAGTCGGTGTGTGTGCCCGGTCGAGAGGGCGTGTCTGAAAGTGCCTCATAGAGTGCGAGATAGTTAGTGTCTCGAGTTACTCAGTCCGTGCGGAGTAGATCGAGTTGACAGCCGGGCAGCAAGAGCCGAGTGGGTAAGAAAGGGAGAGAAGTCCACCCGCCTGACATTGCTGCCATATGGTTATAGGAGCTTCTTCCATCAAACCACAAACGACGGCGACCAGCAGCCCGGCCATGATCTCCGAGCAAAGATATTAATATTAGCCACGAGAAACCAAAGAATGAGTTCGGTAACCAAAACGTTAGAATAAAGAAACAAAAGCAAACGTAAAAAATACAAATCTTGTATGGCCACAAGAGCCGAGTGGGTAGTCGAGTGCACCGAAAGAGTTTCGTAGTGTATCGCGGTTAGTGCATCATCGAGATAGCGTGTTGAGCTCCGGGAACGACTGAACCGAAGAGTCAGGAGCTGTGCTCTGTGTGTCGTCGAGTGCATCGCGAGTTGTAGCGTGGAGGGAGAGGCTCGAGCGTACGTGGAGTTCCGAGAACGACCAAGCTAAGTGTTGAGCTGTACTCTGGTGCTTTGCCGTGAAGCTGTCTTCCCCGTGATACCCTAAAGCCTGCGTCTCTGATTGTTCCAGCGTGTTTACAGTAGTTCTTCTACGACTGTTAAACGTGATTTTGGAGCTGTCCTGATTAATATTCGCTAAATAAACTGTGTTTCGATACTTCATCAAGTGTTGTCGTTATTCATTCCAAATCCATACGAACCCCGTACGAACGTGAAGCAAGAAAACAACTGGTTTCAGAAAAAAAAATCGTAACAGTATTTTATATCTATATACAATTATATATATTTATAACTATATAATATTATAACATATATAGCTTATAATATTTATATATATATTATAATCTATGTATAGTTTATAATAGTGTTAAATTAAAATCGTTTTAATAAATTTTATAATCTATATACATGTAGATGTAAATTACTTACATATATATTAATTTTTCAGATATTTTTTGACGTACAGAATATATTATTTCAAACTATATAGAGGTTTTTTCCCCATATTTTTACAGTATTTCTCGTAGAAATCAGAATCGTGTTGGGGGGAATGTAAATTACAATAGTTTAATACAGTCCACCCACAATATTTAAAATATTTAAATCCATTATCACCACTTGATGACTGTATTAATTTGCAGTGTCCGGAAGTTTGAAGCAACAACTCAATTTGATGAGAAAAATAAGGAATAAAAAAAGGTAAATCCAGGATTGTTCTCAAACTTTAAAATTTTCATTTTCAGAAGTCATATTGGATAGCTAGCAAAAAAGGATACACTGGCCTCTGTTTCGCAATAAACTTATTATGATGTAAAAATTTTTTACACAGAATTCTTTCAAATTTGATTCCTGATCTCTTTCAGAAAACACATAAATTTATTTCTTTGCTATTACGTGACACTTTTTTTATTAATTTTGTGATTTTTATCAGACTGCATTACTTACTTTTCTTCTGCTATATCCTGAAAGGAATTTCAAGATGACAAAAATACATTTGAAATGATTCAAGAAATACGATTTTATAAGCTGACAGAAATTTGTTGAAGAATTGAAGTTTTACTATGAATAAAAATTTCCACTACTGTCAATTTTCGATGTTATTTATTAAAAGACATCACGCTATTTTTTTTCTTTTTGCCTCACAGTCATGGTTCTTCAAATAAAATTCTACTATATATGCTACTCTTTTCCTATTCCTTTTAATCCTAAACTCTTTCAGTGTGGAAGAAACTTAAAATCATTTTGGAAATAAATAAAAAATAAACGGAGTTTTAAAGACGTAACACATTGCTACGCAGTTGAATAAATGTGCATAATAGCAAATATAGTTAAAGTTCTTATACATACTTCTTCCTATCTTACATGCTAGTTCATATCGTTTACTAAATTATCAAATGATTGATTTAGTGATCATCAAAATTAAATTTCTTTTCATTATTAAGAACATGGCTGTATACTACTGAAAAAATATGGAAAAGCCACGGGGGCTACCTGCCTAACAAAAAGCACGCCTTCGTGAAGGGTTTTCTGGGGTGGGGAAATTTTGTCGTATTCACGTTACACATAGGGAAAAGCTACGAAACTAACCATGTAGTTCGTTAGCATGAGCTGAAAGCCAAACTAGGTCAGAATACCAGTATTCGGAGGTCTTAACCACTCGAACACTGGTTTAAGTTAATAAAGTTTAAGATAAAGCAATAAATTTTAAGATAAAGCAACAAAACTGCGCTGTTTGAGGTTTAATTCCTTTACAGCAAATGATTGCTGCATCTAAATGAACGAGGAACACGCTAAAGTAAATTTTAAAACTACGCAAAAATGCAAATTTAGATTGGTTTAGTGAATTTAATCATTTTCTATTAAACATTTCGAGGGCTATCAGATAAATGTGAGTTTTCTGCAGAAGCAAAATATTAATGCTGCTTTTTGTTGCTCAATTTTAGATTCGCTGCAGATTCATTTTTTGGTTTCATTCAAAGCAGAAAATAATTTCAAATTTAAAAATTTATGTCTACGATATTATCATCGCATGATGTTTTGTAGGTATTTATATAATTTTTCTCCTCCTCTCCTTTCCTTCTATGTTGTTTTATTGAACCATATTTTCACATGTTCTTATTTTATGCGCGATTGGTTTCTCTTGTAACTGTTTACATACAGTATGCAAAGCAGTATTGGATCAATCATGCGGGAATTATGAAATAAATGGTCTGCACGAGTCTGAATTTGAAACCCCATACATCAGAAAAAATATATGCCAATTAACAAGAGTGTTTTGAGAACGATCAGTGTAATTGCTTCATGAACATATCAGAAACATCCCGGCGAAATGTTTTTAGTCGTCGACGTTAGTGGAACTGTCATGCAACGTATGAAAAGCATATTTTAAAAATGTTTATACAGTATTCCAAATCACGTCAATATTGTTCCGAATTTCGTAAAGATGTAAATAATTTTAGCGAAATTACATGTAAAAACTTTTAGTATCTGTGGTATAACATAACATGAAATGTCTGAAAGAGCGGAGTTCTTCCGGAAAAATATGGTTACAGAGGCAAATCTATGTAACATTGAGGTAAATTTGGCGAGAAATCGCCAAAGCTCGCCAAATGTGGCCATCATTTGGGTCAAGCCCCTGTATAACTGTAATTGGTTCTGTAAGTTAATAACTGTAGTTGATCCCTACATGTATCTGTAACCGTATTTGAACTTTGTATTTAACTTTAACTGTATATGTCTTCCAGTAATTTCAAGAAATGGAAGGTTCCAGCTATTTCTCTGTAATTCTCTTCTGTAAACCAGATTCGCTCTGGTACCTGGGCAACAAGCCTGCTTGGACTCTAACCCTTGAGTGTTTCAGGTACTTCAGAACTGAGATTTCACGTATTGCGAGCGACCATATTATGTGCCTGTCTTTCAAGGAGAGCATGAAAAATCTTTGCCACATGCACCAAGTGCCGAGAACATCATGCGTCTGCCGAGCCCATATTAGGCTGCTTGGGCCTCTCTAGGGAGGATATTTACTCCAATTCCCTCTTTGTGCTCGTCTTTCTTAGAGTCAATGGTCTTTTGGACCTTGTCTGACTTCGTCAGAAACCGGAGAAAAAACAACAACAACAAATATTTCTCGGCTGCCGAATATGAAATTTTGTAAAACTGGAGACAGCATCAGTTCTCAGTTTTTTAGTTCAGCGTCGATTTCGCAGTATTGCTATATCTCCGTGCGAGCTTCGCTCTTTAGAGGCGCTTTGCATTGCATTTTGTTTAACGTTCTTAATAGTTTGAAGTGGTAACTACTGATTGTGCTGTGTCATACTGAGATGAACTGTACGAGATTTTTGAGGGAAGTTCCTGAACTGTAAAGCGTTTCTTTTTTTTTCACGTTATCATCCGTTTCCTGTGCATTCAATTCATTACAAAACTGTACTCACGTAACAATATGTTCCAGTTCTATAACGGACAAAAGCATATCAAATATCAACGTTAGTGACAAAGAAGTTAGAATGAATGGAGTAAGCCTTTCCTTTATGTCCCGTGAAATGAAAATGAAGCCATAAAACGTCATGGTATGCCCTCACGACTTATCATGGCTGCTCCCATAAGCGGACTTCTAGTTGGTTTTGTTTACATTCTAATTGCTGCTACCTTCATGGTAACTATTCGTCATTGAACGCTTAAGTCTCCCGTTCTAATTTTAATGCAGAAAATAATATTAATACATAAATCATCTTCTATTTAGTATACAGAAAACTCATAAGAACTGCAAATAACTTTCAAGTAGCAAAGGAAGTTCTATAAAAAACGCTGCGACAGTCTTTTACACGAACATTCCGAATTACGTCTACATGTTACGACGTATAATTTCACTGGTGCTGATAGCAATATCACGCATCAAAGGAAGAACATATTTAAAGAGTGCACCTAAAATGCATCCCGGATGTATATTTTCATATAAATGTGTTTGCTTTTTTTAAACAATTACGTATGGTTTTTGTAAATAGGTCTGAGGAACGCTTTTCAACACAAAAGCTAATGTTTCAATGTGTTGCAAAACAAACTTGTAATAGGTGCATTTATATATCATCTAAAATGGTTAACATTGGTTTAAACAGCATTTGGATGTGTCAAACATAATTCTTTTTAATATTTCATAACACAAAGAAGAGAAACTAAAAGACAAGTTGTGTTAGCACTTTTTCCTATACTTTCGCACATATAGAGAAAAAGAATGATTAATGTCATAAATTTCCAGAATTATTTAATTCCTTTACCCTTTCGACTGGCACGGGATTTCGCTGAGAAAGTCCATACTTCCCAAACTATTACCAGAAAGAGGTATTCTTTTATTTTAGTGTCAAATTGCTACTGGTACTTTATACATGGATTTATGTACTTTTAATACATTGCCTTAATCTCTTGGGCCCATTTTCAAATGCATGTATTACCTTCTCATAGACATCACAAAAAACATTCTAGGCTTCCTATATGCTGCCTTGCCGGTCTTCGAGTGCGTTGAATAGAAAGGTAATCTGATTTCGTTCAGAAATGGCAAAGAGATTCATAAGAGATTGGCAGAAACTGGAGAATTTGAGCAACTGTAGACCTACCTCTTCCTTTCTGGCGATCTCGGAGATATGAGGCTGAGGGCAGAGCCGGATGTGCGGGTAGGCAAATGGTAATCAACTTCAGGGACACCTTGCTGCTGTTGTTGCTGCCTGTTGCTAATGGACCGTTCTAGATTCACGATGTTGCGTTCAATCACGATTAGGGCTTGCCTATCGTCTTCAAAGCTCTCCCCCTGCATAGCAGAGGAGCTCCATTCACCCACTGAGCCATCGGGAGCGTTGTAACGAACGTCAAAGAGCAATACAATCTGTTGGAAAAAAAAATGGATATTTCAATGTCCAGAAATAGCCTACCCCCTATATTTGAGTATCACAGAGAGCAATGGCCTTGTACTTTTAGTTAATTTATTTAGTACATACTATAGTTGAGTGTCTGCATAAACAATTTATGTATCCAGTGGATCTGTATATGATCATTTGTGCTGCACACGCACATGTATGTGTCTGTATGTCCTCAAGATATGTTGCAGAGCATCTGATGAGTTAGTTATCTTGTGAAAGGCTTTCGTGCAATATTTCATCTGTTTGTACAGGACAATGGCAGATCTGCGACTCGATGGTTATTGTCTGGTGTTGAAAGATTTGGGTTTCATGAGGACTGTTTCAGTGTAAATTGAAATTGGTGAACATCGTCCAGTCCAGCTACCTAAAGATTGTTCATTAAGGGAATTATGCTCCTGAACAGTAACATTAGCCGGAGCCCCATTCTTCTACGTCCACACACGATCCATGACTCCTTTCTCTTACAACTGAGGCGTTAACCACGTCTGCAGTATATGTCCATTAATAAAGCTATATCCATTATGAAGCTACATGTTCATATATGACCATTAATGTCCATTATGAAAGCTGTATTGCCAATACGATAACAATATCATAACTGAAATTCACTGACATTTTTCTCTGTGATAATCAAACCTAGAGGTATTGAGACTTCTAGGCCACATTGTACATATTAATTTAGAGAATCTGAAAATTTTCAAAATATTCACATTCTAATTTCTAGAATATTCACATCTGAGGCAAAATATAAAACAAATTTTGCAAACAGGACTCTGTAAACATCTATTAAAAAAGTAAATGATATATATTGAATGAACCCATGCTGCTTCTTCAGAAATAAAATATATAATTTGTATGTACGTTTTAATTAAAATAATTATTTCAATACATAAAATATAACTTTTGAAATTTTAATTTTAATGGTTTGAAGCGAAGAAAATAAGTTAGGTAGATTTTCTTGACATTTGCTTCTACTTTATTTCATCTATTGTAGCAGGTTTTTAATTTGTATCAAATCAGTTTTAGTCTGTTTAAAGTACCCAACGTTGCCGGATTTTAAGCAGACCGAAAAGCTTTGTTTAGAGGAATGGGTGTTAGATTTTGTTTTTAAATCTCGGTTCCACAGGGGTTTTCTTTTTATTTTGGCTCAAGGTGAATTGTGGAAAATTTAACCAAACTCTGGGGAGAGTCAACAAAATTGTCAAATAGCAAATGATAATTTATACTTTCAAAAATATTATTGCAGCTAAAAAAATTTATAATCAGACGGATGTTTTTAATATAAAAAATTATCTAATCTAAGAAATGTGGGAAGAGCTCTGTAACTATCCGAAAATATGAAGGAAATCTTTAAAGATCTTCAAAGGTAATTTAGACTTGGAGTGTTAGGTAACTGAATTTAGCTAGCATTACAGAAGTAATGTATTAATAACTCTATTGATTAAAATATAATGAAACTTTAAACTCAGTGTAATGACACCAACATGCACAAGGTTCTTGGTACATAAATTTAATTTTATTTCAATATGTACAGCTTTCCTTTTTGCTGCAGGCCTTCTATTTGTAGCGAAATCTTTTAACATTTAGGCAACTCTTTCGTTTTACACAAACGCTTAATTAACTTGCAGAATTGAAACAGTGTTGTCAGAATGGGCAAAGAGACCAAATAAGATAGACTTGACAAACGTATTTAGTAATCTTTAAAAGGAATTTTTACTGCCTCATATTCAATTTTAAAGGGAAAAAGTAGATTTTAAATCAACATTTATTCTCAAAAAAAAAAAAAAAAACTTGAAATTGCATGCTTTTTGTCCATTATGAAATATATTGCAATATTTATAGAAACAGCTTTCAATCGACGACGTACTTTAAATGTAAATAATAAGGCTATAGATTTGACAATTTAGCATATGTATATATCTGTGCATAAGAAACATTCTCGAGTATCGGTGAAACTATTAAACAGCTTAAAAGAATATAAGACGGCCAAAACTAAGGAAATTAAATGAGATTATTAATTTTTCAAAGATTAATTAAAAATAAGCCACTTGTATTTAATTTTAACTATGTTAATCCGTTTCCATACAGCGAATTTAAAAAGTTAAAGTTAAGAAAATTAAATAAAAGGTAATGGATCTCCGATGCGTTTAAATTAAAAGTAGACAAATTTATATATTTAACTGCATGATCAAATTTTACACGTTTCTTCATTAATGACATTCGTTCTGTTAGTTCTATCTTCTTCATTAGATGTAACAGAATTTACCAAACGTAATTAATGAAAAGTTTTCGAAATGTTCCTATTCCCCCCCCTGCGTATACTTTCATCTGTACATATTCATTAAACGCTCTCAGCAATGTATCCAAATTCATTTATATGTTAAAGATCGAAACTATGAAATGTTTAATGAATGAAGTTGGTAATGGCATGGGAATATTATTGATCACCACAACCATACAATTTGTAACAATACCTTGTCAATGAAAATGTTTTCCAAATAAGGCATAGATTTAGAATGTTCTCCGAATGAAAGCAATTTTAATAAATTACGTGACATATTCAATTCAGTTTCAAACCATTAATTATTTTGTAATTACCTATCCCACAGTTATTTAATTTTGTTTTGTGAAACACTAAATACATGCTTTATTGCGCAAGCGATTAGAATTGTTTTAAGCATAATATTCAATTGTGACAAAATATTGTTAATAATTCTTACTTCTGCGAGGAAATAATACTCACTTCAGTGGGCATGTTGTTGATATCCACCAAGGAATCCGCCACTCGAAGATGTCCATCTTCTATTAGCTTTTGTAGAACTAAGCCATAACTGCCCACAATTCTGAAAAGAGAATATGCCATTTGAAAAACTTGAAGGAAAAGCAATTTTGATACTAGCAATATAGTGTTCGAAATGATACACAAATAGTAACAAATCATTGAGAATGGTCAACATTCTGCGTGTTTTTCTATTGAGAAAACTAAAACGTACTGTACTTGATGTATTGCATAAATATAGGAATTTTGGGATTTGTTTTACGTGGAAGTGTTCAAAACTTTCCTTGTGCATCTGATTCTGATCGTATCCCATTCTGAATTAAACTATTTTACAGCTGTTTTTATCTCGCTGTTTTCTTTTGCTGTTCGTAAACGTTTATCACATTTATAAAGAAACCTCAGGGAAAAACCCACTTCATCATGAAGTGGATGTACATACTCCATACAGGCAGTTTACAGACCCAACATTGTTTGATTCTTCGAGCCCTGTAGGCTAAAATTCTTGCTGGTGTTTCGGTGCTTTCCTCGTAGAGGTACACTGCGAAAATAAAAAACAAATGGGACAGCTTTTTATCTCCAGTTCTACTGGGCCGATTGACGAAATTCAATTTGCGTTTGTCATGTCTCGAAAGCGTCATTTAGGATATGTATTAGATTTATAAATAGCACTGTTCTAATATAGGTATTTGACAAAAAATCGGACTTTTTATGAAGTGACATGCCAATTTTTTCCATATTTCAATTCTACAACTCCCATTACGCCAAACTGCCAAGTTTTGTAAAAATCGTAAGAGTAAGAAATTAGCCCTCAAAATTTTAGCTCCTCAATGTTAGTTAAGTTTGGTATATATTTATAAATATCTCTTTTTTATTTTCTCATTTCGAAATTTAGGTTCATTCCAAATAACATTCGCCCATTTTTCATGATTTATTTTTAAATAATTTTTATAAATATTTTGAAAAAAAAAATGTTGAATTATAACCTATACAATTTTTACCATCATCTTAAAGTAGATGTATTTTTAAGCATACCTGCAAAAAATTAGAAGTTCATATTCAAAATTTCCGAAGATATACGTGAATTTATATACTGGCGCGTTTTGAAATTTGGCATATTTGTTGAAAGCGATAACATCGAATGTGGTTTAGGCACTTTGTTAAAATTATTTCAAAGTAAGAACGATGCGACTTTTTCCCTCATCTGCGCAATTGAAGGGAACGGGAAATAGGTTGCCATATATTAAGAAGTATGCCAAGTGAATTATTCTGGTCTCAAACTGAAAAAAAAAATGCGCCAAGTTAAATTTTTTAATTTATGCATAAATTTCGCACCAAATTTTGCAAAATTTAATATTTAGGCATAACGTGAATCGTAGAATCGAAATATGGAAAATATTTGGTATGTTATTTCAGAAAAAGTCCCATTTTGTGTTAAAATACCTATGTTAGAACAAGGCTATATATAAATCTAATATATATATCCTAAGTCGCCTTTTCAAGGCATGAAAAACGCAACTTAAATTTCGTCAATCGACCCAGTAGAATGGGAGATATAGCACTGTCCTTTTTTCTTTTTTTTTGCAGTGTACGTGAAGGAATTACTGTGATGACAAGTTTCACATTTCGATATTTTCATCGTCATTGTTTTTTCACCACGATTAAAGATTCTGATCTAACCGATTATTATTCAGACATGAAGCGATGTGCGGAGAAGAGGGGGAATCGGTCGTCTCTCTCTGCTACGGAAAACGTGTGATACATTTTCAATTTATTGGCAAAAAAGGGGGATGTTAGTCACGAATGAAATATTAGACTGGAAACGGCATTTTGTGTTGAATTACTCAAAACGGCGTATCACTTTTCAAAATGTTGCCACCAGATATTAGCGCCCTGTATTTTAAGAATTTAAATAACAAGGAATCTGAATAAATATATGCATGCTTCTCGCACTGTGAAAAAAAAAGGTACCTGGAACTAACACATTTTGAATAACGTAGTTCTCTCCCCGAGCATGGGCACATGGAAGGCAGAATTTTGAATTTGTTTTATTATCTACTTCATATTTTGCAAAACTTTATAACGAATTTTTGATTAACAAAATGTAGGATTTCAAAGCGAGCAGTTGCAACACTGTAATAAAAAAAAAACATTTTTATCTTCAGCGCTCGAGACAGTTTATCGGAAATTCTAAAGATACGCTGTTTTTTAAATATTTTGTGACTTTGGAGTTGAATCGAATTTTATAAGGCACCAAAGCACGAAGAACGGAATTTTTAGTAAATAAAGTGAACACACAAAACGACTATAATAAAAAGTAAACGATAATAACGTGACATAATAACGAAGATGATGTAACTAATTTGGAATTTGAATTCAAAATTTCGAATAACGTAACTAATTGGGAATTTGAATTCAAAATTTCGAAAAACATAATTAATTTGGAATTTGAATTCAAAATTTCGAGAACTGACATCTTTCTTCTAATAGGCTGTCGCACTGGATAACTGCGTATTTTTGCTTCTAGCTTTCTGGACGCTTTTAGTTTTCTAATTCTAATTCGCGCTGACACTTAGACCTCTCGCCTAGTCTCTCCTACCTGTTGTCTATAGTTCTAAAAATATAATCTGCATCTAAAAATATAGTATAATCTTGTGGAGTGCATATAGCATGTATGTAATATTACACATATGCACAAAAATATCGGCTTAAAATTTTCAAAATTAACATTAATTAGTAAATCTGCGCAGTAATTTGCGAAATTAATTAAATAATCAAGAGATAATATTTAAATAAAATATGCCAATTTCATTTGTCCGATTGTTTTTCTGGTTTCTAATTCCGAGAATTCTAATTGTATATTGTTTGATGTTACGACTTGATGTTACGATTGTTTGATGTTTGATGTTACGAGTACGACTTGTTTAAGTTCATATCAGAGCAGATTGATTAAAAAATTATTTCTTAAGGTATTCCGCAGAGTGTTTCCGCTGCTCGTTTTCAATTCGTTCAGTTTCTTAATCAAAATTCATTAAAGGATTACAAAATATGAAAAAAAAAAAGTCTGAAAGCTTTCAGACTTTATATTACATCTAAACATATTTCCCTCAATTATTACCATACTACCCCCGTATCACCCAACCATATTACCCCCAATTATTATTTTTTCATTTATAGACAAATACACGTGTCAAGCTCATTTCGGGTTAACGCCACATTGGGCTAAAAATATTAAGAAAATTCTAAATGTCTTTAGAATTTCCTATTGACAGCTTCGCGGCTGGAGATAAAAATATTTTAGTCCGCACAGTGCGTTGCCGCTGATCGTTTTGAAATAGTTGAATTTGTTAATCAAAAATCCATTAAAGGTTTACAAAATATGAAACAGATAACAAAAAAATTTCTAAATTCAGAATTCGGGCTTCCGGTTGTCCATATTCGGGTGGAGGACTAGGTTATTCTAAATTTGATTGCTCTTGGTACTGCTGAAAGTGAGGAACATGCGTACACTGATGTAGATTCTTCATTTAATTTCTTTAAATACAATACAGGGCGATACTATTTGGTGGCAACAGTTTAAAAAGTGCTACAACGCATTTAAGTGTTTCGACGCAAAATTCCGTTTCAAGACTAATATTCCATTCGGGACTGATGTCCCTTGGGCTAACAAAATAAAAAATTGCTTTCTGAGACATTTACTTTTAAAAGAAATGTTCTGCCTCAGCTTCGTAACCTGCAAATATGAAAATGACGGTTAACAGCTAAATATGTTTAATGACTTTCTTACATTGCTTCAGATCTTGATCGACAAAAAATTACATTTTTCCATTTTTGTTTTAATAATAACTCTGTTAAGTATTATTAATTCTGTTTTGTTTGCTTTCCTATCAGAGAGGTTCGTTACTTACAATTTATATCAACCTGTAAATGTTTGAGATTCATTAAAATAAATGAATGGATTCTGCATATGAAAGACCGCCTTAATAAATTAAAACTTACAATTAGCTTAGCTCAACGGATCTATGAATAATTCAGCACCCCTCGTTTAATTTGATCGAGGTTAATGCTGACGTTCGAATAATGTTAATTTGTTCTCTTGCCTGCCACAATACTGCTTTATAATTCAGACTTGTAATCAAGGCGTCATTGAAGCAGTGAAAGGGATTACCACCGTGAAATACGAACAAGTTACTGAACAGATAAGAGAAGAGATAGGAGAACAATTCGGCTCTGTATGAATTCACTCAATAAGCAGCTGTTTCCGAGGAAGAAAGTCTATAAACTGCTTGGAGATCAGCTGCCGCTCCAACACAGAAAATTAGGTCTTCTGTAATATGAAATTTTGCATTGCTTTATTAGGTATAATTAGCCATGTGTAAAGGCCTTGTACGAAGTAAAAAGGAAGTATTGTAATCGCGAAAAGTTTCAGGCAGCATATTTCAACGAAAATATCCATTTTGACCGCGATCGAATGCAATTTAACGATGTTTTTGCGAAATATCTGTACGTAAGGCCAGAATAAAAGACTCTTTTCCTTCAAAAAAACTTATAAAACTGCTTTAAAGTGAATTCTGAAGAGAATGTTTTGTGGTGTCTGTACGTACCACAAATGGTCTGTACGTATGCACAATACGTCTGTACGTATGTGAGATACATACATACGTCTGTGCGTATGTACGTATCTCGCATAACTCAAAAGCGATACGTTGAAATTTTGCAGAAGTAAATTGAGTTTAAATAGAAGGGAAACGAGATTGTAAGTGTGCTTCTTGAATAGCGAGCGTGAAGGTTGCTAGGTAGAAATTTTGAACGTTGAAATTTTGTATGTAAGACTGCTATAAAATGCAGATGTGCACCTCGTATTTTGGTTGAAATCGATCACAGCAAACGTATATAAATATATTTATATATATATCCACTCTGTTACCCGGCTCAGTGATCTCAGTTTCTTTACTCTTATATGTTTGTAAATTGTGCATTTTTTGCTTTAAAAATGATTGAATTGTGTTCTTATCTTCCGGTTAAGGTTTTTATGCCTTTAGGAAATCTGCAAGCAATATCTGTGAA